AATATATTTTCATACTTGAAGAAAAATACATGTGTACACAAGTGGTAGCGGACAATGCATGGATTCTACACCTTGCTTTTTTTCACTTAACGCTAGTCCTCAAAAGTTGTTCCGAAGCCTTATGCTGTGGAGGATTCCATTGTTGGGAAGTGCAATCATTTCTTTAACCAGTGCTCTTCTGACGGACATCCACGTCGCTTCTCAGCTTTTGCTGTTCTAGAGCAGACTGCTGCTATGAAATGCTGTCATTTCACCCCTGCACAGGTGTGCCTGTGGAGGATGAATTCCTTGAAGAGTTAGTTGATTTGAGGGCGTGTGCATTTTTAGTTTCCAGAGAATTGCCAAATTGCTCTCTCTCTCTCTAGAGATGTCATACTAAGCGACAGTCCCCCAGAGCTGTGTGCGAGCATGCCTGGGCCTCCACAGGCTGTCCAGCACAGGGTATTATCACGCTTTCAGATCTTGGCCAAAGCGATAGGAAAAAATGGTATTTTAGTGAGTTTCAGTTTACCTTTCTCTTATCGTGAGGTTCAGCATCTTTGTATATTTCAGAGTTATTTGTAATTCTTTTCTGCAAACTGTTCAGATCCTTTGCCCATTTTTCTGTTGGTTTATCTTTTCCTTATTGATTTATGGGAATATTTTTTATATCAGGAAAACAAGCTCTTTGTCCATGATAAAAGTCGCAAATATTTTCCCCCAGTTTGTCATTTTGTCGCTTCTTTTTGTTTATGGGCATTTTTTTTTTCCCACGCACAGTTTTTATATAGTTGAAAGCATCAATCTGTTTTATGAGTTTCTGGAGTTTGTGTAGTACTTAGAAAGTTCTCAGAGAATATGTCACTTCACCAAGATTATATATTTTTTAAACCCCTGTGATTTTTTTTTCTAGTTCTTTTAGGATTTTATTTTTCATGTTTAAAACATTGATCTATCTAGCATTTATTTTGAGGTAAAGTGTGAAGAAAAGATTCGACTTTTTTTCCCCAAAATGGCTGCCTAGCTGTTTCAAAGCCATTTGTTGAATAATCAATCTTTTCCCCACTGACTTGAAATTCTACTTTTACCATATGTGAAATATATGTATTTCTAGACTTTTTAGTCTATTGCTTCATCAGTCTATTTGTACAAGAACACACTGTTTTAATTATTGCAGCTTTAGAATATAGTTCAATATCTGCGCTAATCTCCTCTACTTACCATTCTTTTTCAGAATTTTTTTTTTTTGCTTTGCTTTGCTTTTGTTTTTGTTTTTGTTTAGCATGAACTTCAGAAGCCCTTTGTCTGGCTTGAAAAAGAAACCCATCCCATGTGTGTTTTCAAAATGAGGAAATTTTTAAGAGAATGACATCGCTCTAATGTTAATTGTTTCTATCCACAATCTCTATTCTCAGTTATCTTTTTCCCACTGAGAAGGCAGCTGACAGGGCTGTTGTGTACAGTTGTATACGTTGAGTACTGAACAATCCTAGAACGAAGGCTGAAAGGAGCTGCCGGCCCCGTCAAGAGGGTCTGAGCTCTTTTCTCTGTCCATCTGCATATACAATCAGTAGTAATAGTAGCTAAAAGTGCCAGGCACTTTTCTAAGCACTTTATATTGTTTATTTTATTCATCCTCGCAACAATAAACCTATCCCCAATTTACAGCTAAGGAAACTGAAGTGCAAAAAGGTTAACTCACTTGTCCAAGGTCAATGGCTTGTGTTACATTCATGGCACAGAAGTCTGTTCCTGCACAGAAACACATGCACACACAAATGCGCATGCAGAGAGAGAGATAGACACACACACAGGCACACAGACACACATATACAAACACTCAGACACACACACGCACAGACACCCACATACATACACAGATGCACACAGACACTCAGACACACACACGCACGACACAAACACGCGCGCGCGCACACACACACTGCTATGCCCACCAGCCTACTGTTCCCGGTCAGTCTTTCCTCCTGCAGCACACACACCCCCAGTCCCCTGCCTTCTCCTGCTTTGGGGCAAGGGCTGGCCCATCACGGAATACCCGCTGGCAGGACTCCCTGCCATCACTCTCAGTCCTGTGTAGGGCCTCCCTCCCAAATCCCTGGATCCTGATGGCAGGGGACCTTTCAGAGAGGGAGGGGGGTGATCTGTGGCAGGGGCTTGGGGAGAGGAGGCATAGCCTTTCCCAGGCCACCTGGTGAGGATAATGTGGGGTGGGGAATGCAGAGCACCCAGCCCTGAGCTCAGGACCTCAGAAAAGGGTATCCAGCCCCCCCCCATCGCGGAGTCATTATCTCCGACAGCCGCTGGACTCAACCCATCCAAGCTATCCAAGCAAAAGTTATTGGGCTCCAGGCTGGCACCCCCGGGAGAGCCAGAGGAGCAAACTGGCAAATGCAGAGCTGGGAGCAAATTGTCCAGGGAGCGGTTTACAGCGGCGCGAGGGGCCTGGGTGAGAGCACATGTGTGCGTGTGGGTGCCTGCAAGCACCCCTCTCCATCCCTCCTCCCCCCCTCACTGCCGCTGGCTCCCAGTCTGCCCCACGTCGAAGGAATTGAATCACTCGGGGGTTGGGAATGTTATTGTTTTAACACAAACGAGTGATGACAGGAACTAACAGAGGGTTTTTAAAAACACGATTCAAAGGGCTCTTGAAAACTGCTGGAGAATATGAATGCGCCTTTGAAGTGCGAATGTGCCCATTTGTTTAGCTGAGAGCTGAGCTGGCAGCCTCAATGGGCAGGCAGAGAATCATTTTTTCTAGCCAAATGGGTGCCTGCCCATCTCCCCGCCCTCTGTCATCAGCCTGAGGCGAGCCAGGACCCCAGAAGCAAGGGACTAGGGGGGTGCTGGCCACTCCCCTGAGCACACACTCTAAAAGAGCCACCTTTCCAACCGTTAATAAGGCAGTCTGCTCACATGACAGTTGTTAGGGGTGATGGAGAGCTGTAAGCAGCATCAAATCTGCCATTGAAACATCGGCGGTCAAGCGGAGACATTGGTCCAGGGCGAGCGTTCTGGATGGCCCTGCACCTGCTCTTCCCAGCTGCCACTCCCCGGTCTGTCTCTCCGGTGGCCCCCACGGTGAGGGTTGGTAGCATGGATGGGGTTCAAGGAAGACTCCCCCAAACAGTTGCAAGTTATACACTCATAAGACTGAGCCCTCAGGCTTGGGGGTGGAGATGCTATGCAGCCTGGCCAGTTGGCCTGGGCCCCAAACATACACTGTGGCTTCTCTTGAGTTATCCATCTGTGCTTGAGCCCAAAGTGAGGCCTTGACACAAATCCTGAACTTCCCTGACTGTGGACACCCAGTTCTGGTTAAATCTGAGGGTGAAAGGATGGAGCTGGGGTCCAGGGCTCCAGGTCCCACTGACGCTCCCAGGGGGTCAGCCTCTCTCATGCCCAGTGGGCTGACCAGCCTGCCCCGGGGGCAGCTCAGGTCACTCCCTTCCTCCCTAAGTCGCCCCCTCCCCAATCCCTGACAGCTGTCTCTTCTTTTCCTTTGGTTTGTTTCATTTCTCAAACCAAAAGAACAGTGGTCTTGTGGTTACCACACTCTGGGCTCATAGGGCAAAAGTTACCTGTCAGACCAAGGTGTGCCTGGGGCACCAGCCAGCGCTGAGCGCTGAGCGCTGAGTGCGGAGGATGACAGCCCCCTCCCTGGCAGGGACAGTCACACTCTGGTGGTGTCACAGTCATTGTTTCGTTTAGCCTGAATGATACCAGGGTAGCTGTTTCTCTCCCTGCGTCTCCTGATGGAGAAATTGAGACTCAGAAAGATGCACACGTGTCCACTCCCACACAGCTGAAGCGGTAGGGTGAGCGCAGAATGGCTGTGGATGCTGGGACCAGCCACCGTCGGCCTGGAGGTGAGGTCAGGGCGCCCCCTGCCTAACCTGCCAGCAGCTTCCTGCGTGGCCCTGAGCACGCCCCACCCCCTTGGGGCACAGTGTGATGGGGTAGGTGCTGGACTTAGTCTAGCGAGTCCAGACCTGGGCTTAGCGGCCACGCGGTCATCGCTGAGCGTATCCCTTGTAGCAGCAGGAGAGCTGCTGTGAGATCAGGTGAGAAAGCCCCTAGTACGCCATGGTCACTCGCTAGTGAGCTGGTGAGGCGTGCTTTCTGGAACTCGCTCACTCCGGCTGTCAGGTGCACGGGCTCAGCCGCACACGCCCTGGGAGTCTGTGCGTTCTTGCCTTGAACCCGTCTCCTCCCATCCACCTCCCAGCTTCCAGTCAGGGCAGGGGCCGCGCTCAGCCTCTGTGTGACACTGGGTAGGCTTCTTACCCCTCTCTAAAAGGTGGCTTATGGTCCTGGCTAGTCGTGGGGTTGTGTGCAAATTAAATGAACATTCATTAAAGCTTCTAGAGCTGTCTGGAACCTAGCAGGTGCTTTAGTCCTTGTTTCCAGACGCTGGCTCCGCCCAGGGCAGGCAGGCTCAGTGCCGGGCTTGGAGGCCCTCTCCCCGTTCCTCCGCCTCTTCCTATCCTTTTATCACCCCTTTGTCTGTTTCACTGCCACCCTCTGGCCAGAAGGGCAGAAAGGCCTAAGTGGTTCCCTGGAAGACATTGTGTTCATTGAGGGGAGCGGTGGGGGCTCGTCCTTGGCTGAGCTGAGTCAGGTCAGAAAGTTAGGGTGACTCTGCAGAGAAGCGTAGCAACGACTGAGCCCCACGCCCACAGCCCGAGCAGCGGCTCTTCCTCTGTCCAGGCAGCTGACCTGTGTGCGCACGGGGAGGTTGAGGCAGGCTGGCCCAGGGCCAGCGATGGAAGGATCCAGCAGCCTCGTGGTGAAGGGGGCCTGCTGGATGGACTCTACCCTGCACTCCCTTGAAGCCAGACCGACCCAACTTCAAGTCCTTCCCAGCCACGTGACCTCAGGCAGGTTACCTGGCTGGCCCTGCTCCCTCTGCATAAGGGCGTTAGGGCTCCAAATGAGCAACCGAATACAGGTGAACAGGTGAGCAAGCGATAACTGTGGCTTTGTGTCTCTGTTTCCCACAGATGACGTGGCCCCCTATTTCAAGACGGAGCCAGTGCGGACGCAGGTGCACCTGGAGGGGAACCGCCTGGTGCTCACGTGCATGGCCGAGGGCAGCTGGCCGCTGGAGTTCAAGTGGCTCCACAACAACCGGGAGCTGACCAAGTTCTCCCTGGAGTACAGGCAAGGCGCGCCGCCCCTCCCGCCCTTCTGGCCACCAGGGTCACTGCCACGCCCTGAAAGGGTACCGGGGTGGGGGGCCTGTGTGGCAGTTTGAGGGCTGGGACTCTCCCTGCAGTACTGCTGGGAGGCTGGGGTGGCAGGAGACAGCCCTGTCCCCCCACTGCTCCCCCCAACTCCAGTGAGAAGACCCCACCCTGCTGAGCCCAGCAGAGGATGGCTGGAAGGTGGGCCTGGGCGCTGCCCAGACAGGGTGGCCCGTGCAGCAGTGGACGGGGTGGAGGGGGTGTTGGGGTAGGGGAGCTCACTACCAGCAGCTGGACCGCCACCATGGCTGTGACCGGAGCCACTTCCTCCCCTCCTTACTGAGAAGAACCCTGCTCTGTGCAGAGGACGCTATAGGACGGGCCTGGGATCAGTAAGGGAGGAGCATATCTATTTGGGGGTGGTGGGGGCAATTCAGGTGGGGCATGGAGGTGGCCCGCCCAGGCCCCGTGGGCTTATCTCCATTCCCTGTTTGTGTCCAGGCACTGAGCTCTGGGCCGGGCTGGCCGTTCCTTCCCCAGGACACTGCCAAGTGGGGAGAAAGGATAGGAGAGAGAAAACAGGGTCTCAGAAGGGGGGGGTTCGCTCTTAGAAGTGTGAGCCGGAAGCAGCGACTCCCCCAGCCTGCTGGCCTCCCGCCCTTCCTCTGGGCCCACCCTCCGGCTCCTCTCCTCCCATCTGGGTCTTTTTTATTGGCTCAACCCAGTGGCTGGTGATTAATCCCCCGGCCTGATGCGCATAATCTGTTTTGTTGGGGAAACAAGATTGTCTTGCCCAGGGGATGTTGATACAAATCTGCTACCGGGGACAGGAATGCAAATGAGAGGAAGGGATTTAATTGTTTGAGGATCTGTCCTTTCCGGAAAAGGACTATCCTTTATTTATTTAATTTTTTTTGTTTGTTTTTTGTTACGAAGCAGGCAGACCAGAGTTTGAGGTGCCCCCGACCCCTGGGCCCCTTCTGCTTGGACTCTTGACTAGATTGGCTGGTGGTGGGTGTGGCCACTTTGGCAAAAGCAGGAGCAGTGGGGCCAGGGCAGGAGGGGACCCCCTTTGCCTCTGGACGGTAAGAGGTCAGGAAGGAGGCCCCCCCAGTGCTGGCCACTCTGAAGGGAGCCCACGAAGAGACTGTGGGACCTCCCTGAGCAGCCCCTGTGCCGGTTTTCAGTTGGGATCCCCACTGCTGTCTGGCGCCCTGGGCAGTTTGTCAGTCTGTGTGAACAGCCCCTGCACCCTCTTAGATGGTGGACATGCTTGCGTGGGAGCCCCACGAGCACGCAGCTCGCACACCACCATGGGTGTCAGTGGTGCTGGGGCGTCCCGTGCTGCCCTTGACTTCTGCTGGCAGGGAGCTGGTTCTTCATCTGGTTCACAACCGCTCTTTTGGTGCCCTGGAACTGCAGGGGCGCAAGGGTGGGCATCACCCAGAAGCAGATCCCAGCTCAGCGTATGGTCAACGAAATGGGCTTCCTTTGGAAACCGCCAGCTCTCTGTCCCTGGAGGCGTCCAGGTCAGGGTCAGGGTCCAGCTGTTGATGATGGTCCTGATGATAATAATCACGGGCAATGAGAAAGCATGTGTGATATGGCAGACATTATGATGCGCGCTCTGTGACTATCATTTAATTCTGCCAGCAGTCCTGTGAGGAGGGTCAATTATTTGTCCCATTCTATACCTGAGCAAGCTGAGGCTTAGAGGGATTAAACAATTCACTCAAGGTCCGATTGTGGAGATGGGCTTCCAATAGCAGTCGCCTGACCCTAAGGCTGGAATTCTTTACCATCCACCACTGCCTCTCGCTGAAGAAGGATTGCTACCATCACTCCCTTAATGAGTCCCCTAAGCAATCTTTCCGCTAACTGTCCTCTGCACGTTCTAGAAAATAGAGCAGTGGGGAGAGGGCACATGTGCCATCTCAGAGCTTGGTTGGGTGGACATTTTTCAGGGAACACAAATGAGCTTCCACTTGGAGAACTCATTCCACTGCCTCCTCACCCCCAAGAAGCCTGGCTCTCAGGCGGCAGCCGTGTGCCCGAGTGCAGGCCAGCCAGGATTTTCCTCTAATCCAAATAGGTTTGCACCCCTCAGTATGGCCTTCAGAACCCCTCATGGTCTGCACCTGATAGCATCTGCCTTACGTCCTGCTGTTCCCACCTGAGTAACACGCTCCCAATAAACCGGAACATCACAGGACAGCTCCCTGCCTGAGCCCTCTCTTTGGCCTTTGTCCAAACTGTCTTGTCCCCTCCACGTGGAATATTGTCCCTTTTTGAACTTCCTTTCTCCCGCGGACCCCGCCTCTTTCAGAAACCTTTCCTGATAGTTCACACGTGTGTTCTTAATAGTAATCTCTGCTCTTGCTCTCTCTCTCTCTCTCTCTCTCTCTCTCTCTCTCTCTCTCTCTC